TTAATCGGTCCATGCATGTTCGAGATACAGGTGATCACGGACGGACGCACGGACGGACGGACGCACACAGGGCAAAACATAAGTCCCCGTTTTCGGACTGCGTCCGAACGGGGACTAATAATTAAATAATTATAATAAACGTTTCTTTACGCTACAGATACGTGTAAACAAAAATAGACACAAACAATATGGAAAACAACTGCAATAACAGAAATATTAAACTAATAAACATAATAATAATCGACTAGGTATGATGCTAGATGTAAATAAATATTCAGAAACAAAGTGAAAAAAGAAGTGAGCTCTTCATCGCTATCACAACTGGTCAGTGAATATATCGTGTTTGTTCGTTTCTATTTATGATGAATATCCAATTATAAACAAATCTTAGAACAATAAATTATTATTATTACTGAGTAATCTCATTAAGATCTTCAAGGACATCAAATATATAAAATTCATTTTTAGAAATGTGATCATAAATTTCAACGCTTGTATGGAAGTACAAAAAAGTGACAAAATATTTCAAGTCACAAATAAACACAGTGATAATAGAAATGTTATACCTATTATTATACATTCGGCAGTCACCATAAGTTACAGCATGCCATAACACAGTATTTGCATACTACCTTATTAGGAAATGCAAACTCCAAATAAGGACAATTATGCAATATCTCAAGATGGCAAGCACATTCCAAAACAAAGTTCAAGTGAGAAGGTTCTACAGATTTTCACCACTTTTCTTATTCCTATGTTTCACACACCAAGCAATGTATAATAATAGGAATATGAGTATAGTGCAAAGTAAGCACTCTGACAGTATGTGGGTACATCAATCTCTGCTACACATAAATTAAGACTTTCTGTGCACTGTCTTGTGCACACTTTGCAGCATTCTTGTAAGAACCTCACATTGCATTGAAGGTATTAAACACTAATTTCTACTTACATCTTTATCACAGTATTTAACAATTGGTAAATTATAAAACTTGGTTCCATGTTCTTTTGGTAGAATAGAGTTTGTACCTGCAGGCTGAGCTCCATCTAGTAGACATGTGGAGCCCATTTCATCAGCTGTAAAAAAACAAACAGTGGTTTGCATCAAAATTAAAAAAAATTATAACAGCTTTGTCAGGTCTGCATGTTCTAAAAACTCCAAAATTTCACCTGCTCAAATTATTCACCTTTTCACCACCAGTTCCCTTTTTTCATCACAAAGTCACAAAATAGTCCTGTTTATAGTCTGCACTTTCCTTCAGAAGATTGGGACAAAAATAGCAACATTTTTGGAGTAAAACTGAAAATTGACTGAAATTTTCTTTGTTAATGTAAAAAAAATGTGGGCGAGAAAGTCTGGTGGTGAAAAGGTTAATCAACAGATTTTTGTAAATTAATGTTTTCTAAACTTCTGATGAATTACAGAATTGTTCTTTTGTCAATCTTACATTTTTCTTCTAAGACCTACAGTTTAACACCAATTTTAACTTTAATGAGAACCAATATCGATGAGTGCAGGTATGGAGTACTTGGAACGGATGATGTAGGAATCAAACTGTGATTAGTAAATGATCATGTAGACTAGCTGATATTTCTGAGTTTGTAACAGCATTGCAGCAACAACATCTTATTCAATCATGGTTTGATACAAAAAATGTTATTTCTCTGGTTTGATAAAACTTACTTTTATTTTGAGTGAATGTTTTAGAACACCTGAATCGATTTTGTATGAAGCTCATAGACAAGAGTAGATCTACCTTAGAATCTTTCGACCTGATAGGTCAAGAATGCCATTAATCAATCAAAACACTGGGTGTCACTGCCGGCAGTTTTTCAATTATTTGTGGTCACAGAAATGTTGCTTTTCTGGCAGCAAATGTCGTTTTTGTAATAACTGATTTTAACTCTAATTTCGAAAAGTGAGGATTTAACATGATTTTGTATTCTGAAAACCTGACCATTCTTATAATAATTATTAAAATGTGATCAGTGAAAACATTGCAATCCAAAAATGTCACAACTTTGAATGATCAGTGCAAACTAAATTATATAAATCATACCGTTCAAATCTAAAAATAAGACTGGTATATGTGTTTCCATTCCTAATGGTGGATTCCACTCTGCTGGGGCACCAGGGATACCACTGTTAGCTGCTGGTACAAGCACTGCATTACGCTCCTCAGTTAGAGACACCCACTGATTAATTAAACTGGCTTCACGTTCAACATCAGTATCGTTTTTTTCTGCAACAAAAAAAATGTACATATATTAAAGAAATCCTCCAAGAATAGGAATCATGGGCATATGGTGCGGCTGTATTTACTCTGTCAGGAAAATGTGTGCATTAATAAATTTATGAAACCAGTTGGCAGTATAAAATTCAGGGTTTATACACCAGAAATGAAATATAATTACAGAACTTTGCAGACAATTTTTTTATCACTTTCAGTTAATTTTCAAATCGGATTTATGGATTAGGATTCAAAATGAAGTCAAGATAAAGTTGGACGCCATCATACTTGGATGATTAATATACAGCTTTAAATTTAAAATAAAAATTTAAATTATTATTAAATTTAAATTAAATTTTAATGCAAAGAAAGGCTTGTCAAAAGTTACCTGTGCTGGTGTCTGGTAAGAAACTACTAACACTAAATGTAATAATATCTTAGATGAAACAAATAAAATAGAACATCTCTAACCTGATTTGTTAATTATTTTATGTATTTGTTCATCCAAGTATTCCCTTCTCCTCATTAGAGCTTCTGACCATTTTTCTCTAAGCCTTGTCAGATCTTCATCTTGGTAGCTATCCAATCCCTTCTGTAGTTTGGATCTACCACAAATACTGCCTACAGATATGCCAGTAATGGCTTCACATACTAATGGTAATGTGCCTGAATCTTGTACAGGTTTGACTTTCACACACACCCTGCGAGAATGACCCTAGCAATGCAAGAATATTACAATATGTTATCAGTTTCTTTAAGCCCCACTCAGCATGTTACTGAACATAAGCAAAATGGACAATACTTGAAAAATATTGGTAAAAAAACAGTCACAGTAAGGGTTGGGGTTAATGGTTACTGCAGAACAGTAGAGGTAAAAGTTGATATGACACTGCCACAAATAGTTAAGGTGTGCCAATGACAAAACAAAAAAATATTCATTGATATCTGTAGTAATCTTGAAAAACATCTCACTATTATAGTTAAAATTAAATTCACATTTTAAAAACAAAATAAATATGAAAAAAGGAACATTTTTTGTGTGCCTACATATACATACAATCTTTATTTTTTCTTCCCAGCAGTCAACAAGTTGACCCAACTTGATTTCCATTTTGGCTCAAGAAGGCATACTGCCAGAGAAGTGTACCATAACAAGTCATTGTCAATGACACGTCCCCGTTCCGTTCATATTTGAGTGACATATACATTCAAAGCAGATCATGACCAAAATCTCAGACCACTTTCAGTGGTCTGATCCGAAATGCACCTGCATATGTACAACACATTGTATGATGTGTGTGAAGTGTGGTCTTGATCGGTTCAGGCATGCCTGAGATATGGATGCTGAACTGTATTCAGTTAAAACCAGATTTGGAAAATAAAACAATGTGATTCAAGGTACCATAATGTACAATGTATGCATGAAGTGTGAACTAAATTCACCCATGGTGAATATGTGCAATTTTGACGAATATTTGACCTTAAAAGGACTGGCCCAAATGCACAGGCATATGTATGATATATTGTATGATGTGTATGTGAAGTTTGAACTTGATCTGTCCAGACATGTCCGAGATATGGATCGAAAACTAAATTCTTTAAAACAAAATGGCCGCCAGTCGGCCATTTCGAACTTGATCCGAAAAAAAAAGACGTGCATCAAGCTTATATTATGTTTAATGTATGTACCAAATTTGAACAAAATCCGTCCATGCATAACTGAGATCTGGGTCCGGAATGGTGAAAATGTGCGATTTCAATGCATTTTCAGCCTTAAAGCAGCCGCAATTTGGCTATCGTTAATGAGATCATGAAACAAATGCACAAACATATTTGTGACATGATGTACCTTGTGTGTGTGAAGTTTGAACTCGATCAATTCAGGCATGTTCAGATACGGATCCAGAACTGAATTCTTTAAAACAAAATGGCCGCCAGTCGGCCATTTCAAACCCAATCCAAAAAAAAAAAAAAAATGACGTGCATCAAGCTTATATTATGTTTAATATATGTATTAAATCTGAACAAAATCCATCCATGTATAACTAAGATCCGGGTCCGGAATGGTGAAAATGTGCGATTTCAATGCATTTTCAGCCTTAAAGCGGCCGCCATTTGGCTATCGTTAATGAGATCATAAAACAAATGCACATACATATTTGTGACATGATGTACCTTGTGTGTGTGAAGTTTGAACTCGATCAATTCAGGCATGTCTCAGATACGGATCCAGAACTGAATTCTTTAAAACAAAATGGCCGCCAGTCGGCCATTTCAAACCCAATCCAAAAAAAAAAAAAAATGACGTGCATCAAGCTTATAGTATGTTTAATATATGTACTAAATCTGAACAAAATCCGTCCATGCATAACTGAGATCCGGTTCCGGAATTGTGAAAATGTGCGATTTTGATTTTGCATTTTCGGCCTTAAAATGGCCGCTATTTGACTATCGTTAATTGGGTCATGAAAAAAATACATGTGCATATGTCCCATATAATGTGTGATGTATGAGTGAAGTTTGAACTTAATCGGTCTATGCATGTTTGAGATACAGGTGATCACGGACGCACACAGGGCAAAACATAAGTCCCCGTTTTCGGACTACGTCCGAACGAGGACTAAAAATGGTGCTTACCTGTCTTAATTGGAAGACACCACCAGTTAGCACCTCAGGCCTTGGTTGTAGTTCAACTGGAAAATATTCTCCTTGTTCATTCAGTTCTAACACTTCCAGCCATAATTCTATCTTTCGTGTTAATTCACCCCACCTATCACAATTTTGAGTGAAAATTTATGAAAATCAATAATACAAAGAAATGAACTATAAACAGTACTAGTTTTTAAAGAAAAGGAAAGAAAAACTGCCTCACATATCAAGATTACACATCCAGGGAAATACCCAATGATGGTCACAAGTCCTGGTATACTAACAATTTGCATGCATTATAAAAGCAGTTCATTTTTATTTTATTTTGTAAAGAAAAGCGTAGGGGAAAACAAAATTCAGGTACTTCAGATATACTTGAGATATGTTTACCTGTCAGCTAATGACCGTGACTTTGCATGTAAGCTATCAACTTCCCATCCAGATGGCTTAGCATCAAATCCAGCACTCCGATGTCCCCATACTTCTACTGCTAATGAACCTTCTAATGCATGTTCTATGAATTCCTCAGTTACATTCACAGTGTATTCCTACAACACAGACAATATACAAGCAAGGTTATAGTCAGTTATGATCTGAACTTTCAATTAAATCTAACATTAAAGTTGTGGCTACTTTATACTTAAAGGGCGTCGCACGGCGTCATGTTTGGCATGAGACTCAACATGTGTAAAATCCATTGTTTGTTTATATGAAATTCGAACATCCGCTGTGCAACTACTACTGCCATTTAATAGAGTTCACAAATTGAATTTCAAGTGATGACATAGTACCGCACACATCTGACATAATGCCCAGGGTATGTGCGTGTTTCAGGAGGGTAGGCACTTAGCTGAGCACAACCACGTACCCCACGCACCAAACTCAAAAAAGGATACAAAGGACAATTGAAGTTTAAATTGAGGGGAATATTACGTCTCTTTGGAGAAAATAAAATTGCAATATTAGTTCTTTGTCATTGATTTCCACAACACTTTAATGAAGAAACAGAAATGGTCACAACAAATATGTACAGTTTATTCAAATTTTTGATTACGTACCACCAAAATTTATGATGTGAAATTTATTAGGGTTTGTGGATGATGTATGTATAAATGAATAAACAGTTGCAGTACAAGTTGACAAAAACTTTACCCTGACATGGTCAAACTTCATAGAATATTCAGGAATCTTTCTTCTTGTTGTAACTTGTTTTACAACAGGAGGCACAACACAATAGTCTTCTTCACCCCAGAATGTATACTGACAGAAGACAAAGTTAGCAAGACTTGGTGGCAGTCCTGAGGCATGTGATATCTTCAACTGAAAAAAAAATATCATGTTTTAATAAGCAACCGCTATATTGGGATTTTTATTATGGTGTAAAATATAATTCTGATTGGAATTTATTTTCACTGAAGTAAAAATACAAGTTCACACTGGTTTGCATATGAATTAATATGATGATAAATGAAAGTAAAATTAATTAATGTCAACCCAAGCTCTTATTTGGGTCACAAAATGAGTAATATACCACCAGTTTATTTATGTAGTCAAGAAGTAGTTGAGTTATTTAATTATTTGGGTCACAAAATGAGTAATATACCACCAGTTTATTTATGTAGTCAAGAAGTAGTTGAGTTATTTAATTATTTGGGTCACAAAATTACTTTTTTTGATCTTAAAGACGAATTAGACGATATTGACATTGATCACCAGAGACATGTATTTTGTGTTCGTGCTAATCTGTTGTTGTGAACATTTGTGAACTGTAGCACTGAGGTTACGTAATTGTTATTTAAACTGTTCTAGGTTTTATTACTGTCAATTATGGTGTTCGTTTCAAAAGGCAACACTTAATGCCATGAGTGGATACTCATATGAATGCAGTGTCAGTACAATATGTGTTGTTAATCAAATACAAACATTCCCTTGTCTTAATAGAATGCTAGTATCGTTATTTACTGAACATGTTTATACCTCTACTAATTGTCTCTGTAATATTTAATAGTGACATACAAATGTACATTGGAAATCACTGTTGGTGAAGTACTGGAATAACTTGATTATTTGATTTTATAGCAAAAACTTAATGACTGTAATTTATTATAACTTTCTTTTTATCTTATTGTTTTGTAAATTATTTCATATGAACTCTGTCTGAAATAAAATTAATAATAATAATAATCTTTACAAATTGCAAATACAGAGATATTCAATTGGACTATTCCATTATGTGTAGGGGTGTACTAACCCTGCACGTTAGCTGTGATCCTATTGATAGTCCCTCAGGTTCCACTTCTCCAAGTACTTCAAACCCTCCACTATCCGTACTACAGTCAGAATCTGGTGTCCAGTCCAGTGATGGTCCACTAATACGCTGTAATTCCACATGCAGTCGACCAGACACCTATACAAGAAAATGTCACATTATACAAGTACAGGTATAATGACAAGACGTGATATGATTTATTTCTCTTAGGTACAAGTTAATTTGAATGATTGAATTTTTTTCTCTCAAGTACAAAATAATTTAAATCATGGGATTTATTTTTCACAGGTACTGGGTAATTTGGATGGGATTTATTTCTCCCATGATGAGAAATCTTTTGAGTACAAGGTAATTTGAATGATGGAATTTATTTTTCACAGGTACATGGTAATTTGAATGATGGGATTTATTTTTCACAGGTACATGGTAATTTGAATACAGGCATTTATTTCTCTTACCTCTCCTTGCTGGTTGATAATTGGCACTGCATATTCTATCCTCACATCATGAAATAACACTTCTAAAAATATATTCGCAACACCAATTAAATTATGATTTTCTTGACTTTCGTAGAACGGATCACCACTTATGGGAACGCCAGTATCCTAGAAATAAACAAGTTACATTATTAGTCATTAAAATCAGGAAATTTTTGAGAAATACTAATTTATATAGAGACTGTTGGGGGAAAAAAAATCAAATCAAATCAAATATGGACACTGTTAAACAGAAAAAGAATAACTTGATTTGAACAGCACCAGATCCACAAAGATAGAAGAGTCAAAGGAGATCTACCAGCTGTGCTCTGATATGCTGTTTAAGGTACAAGAGTAATTACCTTGAGTGGTAGCCCACGTTCTTTCCTTTCTTCATACATGTCTCGCATATCAATTATTTTATTTATCATCTTTTCCATTGACCATACCTGCGTACCTTTACTTTTACGTCTTACTTGAATCGCTGGCTCACTCACAATGGCACCTCTCTGTGAAGCATATCGCAAATGTTAGTCAGAAATTAATTCAATGCAAGAATTTTTAGCTAGTTGAAAATATTACATTCTTACCTTTCTATTTGGTGTTAGATTAGAGGCTGGTATCTGCAATGTCACATGAAACTCTGTCTTTTTACCCATCTCTTCTGCTAGAAAGTTAGCCTCCCGAACCAAGGCGTTAGCTTTCACTACCTCCTCACGAAGCTTGGACAGACTCTGTCGAAAAATCTCATCCCTAAAAAACAGATCAATGAATGGGTTTTTATATTAAATCATTTGTTGTGATAATTCCTATTGATTGTGTACTATTTATTTATGCCCAGAGACGGAAAGACAATGGTATCAACCAATACATAGCACAGGTCATCCTGTACTGCCTGAGTGCATACTTTGCGGTATTTTTGTGATAACATTATTATATACCTCTTTTTTTGCTTGTACTAATAAGAACACTTTGCACTGCGTTCAGTGACAAGTTTCTATTTACATCATGAAAGATAGCGATTTTGTGTCTGATGTCATTTGAGAAAAGTATATCCAGTCCATAAATGTTGTAACACCCTATTGGTGTACCGTTAATTACAATTTGACCATGGGGTGACTTCAAACACATGACATAATTTATAATGACGCAGATTGTTTTGATTGATCCAAACAGATCCAAGCAGTGTTGGAATTTATTGCCCTGATGTGAGGGCGCACTTCCCATAGCATTACGAGGCTGGGCAATATGAGAGATACGATAACGATATTTCAGCCCTAACTATGTTTCCTTGATTTGTTGTGAATCCCAAGGAAGTTTATTACCTGAACAAACCCCTTGAGAAATTATAGTAGCATTGCAACAGTTATAAATGTCTGTCATAATTTTAGTTTTTGTTTACTCATTTGCTTGTACAAATCGAAGGTCCTCATGAATAATTAATCACGCTATACAGTATCTTAAATTGTTTGTTGTTCACATGCTGTACGATGACCATAGAGTTTTATATGTATTGACAATGGCACACAACACTGCTGGATTATGGGAAATATACATAGAAGAAGACTATTACAATATGCTGTTCCATTTACCTTTCTTCCTCCCACTGTATATACTTGGTCTGCATATTGATAGCATTAGAATCTGTTGACTGTGGACTTAGTTGTGCTATGTCAAACCGCTCTAACTGCTGCTTTTGCGTAGGAGTTAATTTATTACGTAACATTTCAAGTTGCCTTTCATACATATCTTTTTGTCTTTCCAATGCTTTGTCTTTGTCTTCTTTGTGATGCGTTTCAAGCGTCTTCATGGCATTCTGTATTGGATCTATATGAAATAAAAATGGTAAGATAAGTCAGTACTTGAACAAATGTATCCAGTGGGATGTACCAACTTTAATTGAAATTCAGGTTGAAAAGCACATCCTGGTACCAAAGTTTGCACATCCTGTACACATACTAAGAATAATAGGTAACATGGCAAGAAATTTATAAAATGTAAAGCCTTGAAATATATTAAAGCGAGAGACACCTTCGCTTTAAGTAGCTTGTAGTAATCTCTAGACTATGAACATTTTTTATAGAACTTGAAATTGTTAATAATTAGTGATAAGCACATATACTTGTATGCTCCCTGTCGGGGAAGTTCAAATTTTTTAATTAATAATTGATTTTATTAATATTTAAATAGAACTTCAGGTTTGGGTGTGGTGTATAGCAGTTAGTAATAAGTGAGTCCACCAGTAGAGGGTGCTATCCACATAAGATTAGTCTCCCTAATTTTCCACATCAGATATAACAGATATATTCTTACCATTACCAAGTTCTTTCATCATGACTTCACTCTGTGCAAAGTCATAGTCTACAGGCACTTCAGATTCAGGTGTATTACCACCACTAGATCCTGTCAACAAAATATTGCAAAACAAATTAGTGGAGATAAACAAACAAAATGTAAAGTATCACAAACTGCAAAGTAAATACAGTTGACCTTGGCACTCTAATCCTGTTCAGGATTTCAATACACTGTCCCTGTGGTAGCCAGTACTGGCAGAACACGTTCATTAGGGGCCCAAGCCCGAAGGGCGAGGCCCCTATTATTATCGTCCGTTTTTTTCTTCTTTTTTCCGCAACTTTTTTCGTCAAGCCGTTTGAGAAAACTGCTGAACAGAATGGTCTGATAATGCTCTATACTGATAGTCCCTATTGTGAACTGGTGCAACATGCTTTCAGAATTTCCATTGGTCAATTAGTTTGGCAGCCATATTGGATTGAAATAAAACCGGAAGTGGCTGTTTGACCACTTTCTGAGGGTCTAGGCGTCTAGATTTTTTTATGGTATATAGTACAACTCATGTGTAATAGATATCAGCAATAAAAACTTTAGCGGTCATGTGACTTTTCCCGCCATTTTGTTTTTCCTAAAAACGGCAAAAAACACTCAAAAATCTTCTTCTTCAGAACCACCAGGCAGAATGCTCTCATATGTAGTATTTAGCTTCTATATAAGAAGCTCATTTACGTTTGAAAAAATTGTTATGATTAGTCGCATGGTTTGGCCGCCATTTTGGGTTTCTTCTAAACAGGAAGTAGTTTTTTACTCATGCCACACTTGAGGGATTACGTTCAATATTGCTGCATGGCATCTGTATATCAAACTCTTTCAGAAACCTAAAAAAGATTTCAGATCAGTCACATAGTTTGGCCGCCATCTTGGATTTTAAGCAAAATTGACCAAAAGTTTGGGCATTTGTTTCTCAGAGGTAATTCAAACTAGGAGCTGCACCAAATAAAAAAAAAATACATTTCACTCAAAGACTTATGGATAAAAAACTTTTGATAGACAAAAAGAAATTAAGTTACATGAACTAAGATAACAAAATATAACAACAACAAAAAATAAGAAAACTTATGTATTAGTCTGACTTCTTTCAAATTTTGTATGTGCATTTGTGTCATCAGATGCATCATTTTGCCCCAATAGCAGACTGCTAGGCCACGTGGCTGGGCACCCATGGGGTGGAGGCTTCTAATCTCATTAATATGCATAACTGTTATAACTCAAGCACTGTTGTAGTTAGGATGATGAATCCTGTGTTATTATGACAACGTTGAACAAGAGATTTGATTAAAATAACAAATGACCATATATGGTCATGTGAGCTCATTAATATGCATAACCATTATATCTTAAACACTGTTGCAGTTAGGAAGATGAATCCTGTGTTATTATGACAACAGTGAACAAGAGATTTGATTAAAATAACAGATGACCATATATGGTCATGTGAACTCATTAATATGCATAGCAGTCATATCTAAAACACTGTCGCAGAGCAGGACATGTAACTAGTGTCATTATGAAGACATTGAATGAAAGATGTAACTGACATTAGAAATGGCTATATATGATTATGTAATCTCATTATTGTGCATAAGAACATGGCTCATTATATATCCTGAAAACCATATTTCGATAACCAAACCAGGTAAATACATGTACATGGTACCAACTTCATTTCCACCTCATGTTACTGATAATTCAAGCTACCTGATTGTCTAACATGTGACCTCATTAATTATGAAACAGAACCTTGTCTGCTTGGGCCCCGGTGACGCCGCTTGCGGCTTTAATATCTGTTTGTTTTTTTACATTTGCATGTTACGTAAACCTGAATGACTACAAAAAACAGTGACCATGCTAACAAAAACAATGATAACACTTACCAACACCAGGCGGTCTTGGACAATTAATTCTAAAGAAATGGTTGTTTCCCCATAGTACCCTGTCACCATGCTTTAAAGAAGTTCTACTTGAGATCTGAGAACCATTTACACACGTCCTACAGTATACAATACATGTAAATATAGAGTTATTTGGAACTTGAATCCAAACTACTATAAACAACATTTAATTTAATTTCATAAGAACAAATTTGCAGATATTTTGTGTGCCAACTGAAATAACAAAATTTTGCAGTAGTGATAATATCTAAAATCCTAAAAAGTGAAAAGTCCTAAAGAATCAAGTTACAGCAACTGTCCCAGATTTTGTGCTCACCAACATTATTAAATGAAAATCGTTTATTCAAATTCTGAAATTTGGCCAAATATTTGCTGTTTGCTGTTATGGACACACCACATACATGTAATGATTACCAATGACTACACATGCTAAGATTCAATCTGTCCACAATATCAAATAACAACAAGCAGCCTATCGGCTGAGATAGCTCCGCTGTCAGCAATGCACATTTCAATTAAAGAACTGAAGACATGATTAGAAAATGAACAATATGAATAGTATCAAAGCAATCAGACTTACAGTTTTTAACAAGAAGTCGAAAATATCACTTTTTACCAAAAAATTACAAAAATATTCACCAAAATAAATTAATTAGAGAATTGAAGATATCATCACAAAACGAACAAATCTGAGAGAGGTCCACATGTAGTACCTATATATGTAATATCAAAGCAATCGGACTTACAGTTTTCAACAAGAAGTCGAAAATATCACTTTTTACCAAAATGACAAAAATATTCACCAAAATTAGAGAATTGAAGATATCATCACGAAATGAACAAATCTGAGAGAGGTCCACATGTAGTACCTATATATGTAGTATCAAAGCAATTGGACATGCGGTTTTTAACAAGAAGTCGAAAATATCACTTTTTACCAAAAATGACAAAAATGTTCACCAAAATTAGAGAATTAAAGATATCATTACAAAATGAACAAATCTGAGAGAGGTCCACATGTAGTACCTATATATGTATTATCAAAGCATTTGCACTTGCGGTTTTTAACAAGAAGTCGAAAATATCACTTTTTACCAAAAATGACAAAAATATTCACCAAAATTAGAGAATTGAAGATATCAACATGAAATGAACAAACCTAAGAGAGGTCTACCCAAGGTACATATACACCAAGTATCAAAGCATTCAGGCTTGTAGTTTTCAAGAAGAAGTCGAAAAAGTAAAACATTGACACGGACGACGACGACGACGACGGACAATCACTCATATGATAAGCTCCGCTCGACAAAGTCGACAGCGGAGCTAAAAATAGATAATATTAGCAATTCAAAGAGAGAAGTAATTATGGGTATGTAAGACCATAAATGCAATCATAATACAAGGAATGTGTGGTACATTTGATCCTACAGTGAAGTATGACCTCATACTTAATGACTCATCAAACACAGAAAATATTATTACTATGTGGCTTGCACTAAATCTGATTAAAATGAGTCCGAACTATGATCAACAAAATGATCACAATTAACAAAATTACATTATTTGTATGTTTTAAATAGAGCATATGCAAAATCAAATATTTCCAAAGGAATAACAAAATCTGCTGTAAAATCATCTGTATTTGAACCACAGTTCAAATAGATTGTGAAACCATGCTTAATGAAGGTTATTACACAACAATTCTAGGTTATCGTGCAGTTTGTATTTATATTTATAGTCCAACAGACAGTTGAAAGTTTGCATACATTAACACTATATGATGAGGTATCAAGATAGTCATGCAATAACCTGTAAATGTGTTTACCTTGCTCCTTCTTTTGGCGTTACAAACACTTCGTAATCATTTTCAATATCAATTATACAATGTTCTGATAGTATACCCAAACCACTGAGTTGAATATCTGGATTAGATGGAGCACTAGGTCTACCAACTAATGTATGCTCCTGAAAACAACACATAAATTATGGTAAGATTTCTTTAGGGTTGTCTAATCCTAACCCTTCCTCCTTCCCACATTTTAACTGCATACCCAGTATGCCCTACTTCAGGAAATGTATAGATATGTGGAAGGGAATGTTGGAGTGTTATGGTTAGGATTTAGGTGAGGGGGAGTTAAACCTTAACCCTTTCATCATCAGTTCTCTTTTTTTCATCATAAATTGCACTTTCCTTCAAAATATTGGAACTAAAATATACAAATTTTTGAGTGAAAACTGAAAGTTGACCCAAATTTTGTCTGTTGGCTCCAAAATTAGGGTTCATTTCCAGAAATATTGAAAAATAAAAGAAAAAGTGCAGACAAATTTGGGTGAGAAAGTGTGGTGGTAAAGCTTTAAATTATCTCAAATGATGCTTATTTAATGTGTAAATTTATTTGCACACAAACTAGGGCCTAGCATATGCAGTGCCAATCTGTCTGGGCTGATAGTAATAATATAGCGCCCTCATAAGTCCAGAATAAGTACATAAAGGTTTTACATAAAGCAGAATGACATCATGATTGATGTGTAAATCAACAGTTGGTAAGATTTCCATATATGGCATAACAATTGTAATCCTACTGACTGTAGTGAATTTCATACATACACTGCATGCATCTGATCACAGCAGGTACTAATGTCAGTTATTGTGACATAGCCCCAGCTTTATTCGCATTCAAAAAATAAACTGACAATCTGACAGAATAACAATCTGTGATATGACTATACTTCTTACTGTATTATCTCTAAGACAACCGTACAAAAACTACATTTATTGAATCCTAGATTATTATAATTTTGACTATAGAGTTGATGCATCTCTCTTTGTGTAAAAGTATGCAATACAAATGGAGCAAATATCCCATTTTTCCTGACCAAATGTCAGTGCAACATTTACCGGTAGCAATTTTTTTTTTATAATTTCTTTATTAATTTTGGATCAAATAGAAATAATTTTTCATTGGTTACAGGTCCAGATCAAATTTAAAAAAAAAAAATTAAACAGATTTTATTTTATGAGAATGATAATAATTTACTTTTGCATTCAATGAATGGTTAAGCAGGTATAACATTGTATTGCTATGAATGAGAGCAAGTACACCTATACCCCTAGGCCTTGATGGCAGTAACTACTGTAACATGCTCATTACTAAAATCAGATCACTAATCAACTTGCGGCTGATCAGTACAGAGATGAGGGTAATCTAGATCAAACTAAATTATCTAATTATTGTGGAATATTTATAGGAGTCAATAAAAAGTTGAATAATTCAAAAGTCTCTGAGTTCTTTGATCTCGTACATGAGCAGGCTGTGTGATTTGACTACCGCCATCTTTGATTTGGACAACAATACTCATTGTTGTCCATTTACTGCAAAAAAGGTTTATTGCGATGACAACTCAAAAATGACATGGTTGTTAAGGAGAATAACTGAGATACAAGGTTACTAACAACTATAAGACTTTATTGTAAATAATATCTACGACACAAACACTCAAGTTACAGTATAAAATATTTTATTGGCATAAGGAACACTCACCGTGTCCCACCTAAGCTGCACTAATGTTATGTGAAATTTATTTTCAATATATTTAATCTATGTGAAATTTATCATTGGTTTTGCGACTAATGCAGTTCCAAATTATTGATTAAATATTGATGTCCAATCACTCACTGACAAGTAAATAAATTTCATATTCACACTAATTACACTAATGAATCTTTTACCTTAATTACACTAATGAATTTTTCACTTGTCAAGTACCCGGTACAAGTTGAAAATATCAATAGAAATTATCTATTCAAAAAAATTTCTAAAAGACCTCTATAATTGTAACACCTTGTAAACCGTTCAACTATTTCAGTTGTTTTGTGTTCAGTTTTGCTGGGAGTTTTCTTTTTTAATTCTTTCCATATCCAATTACCTTAGTTTTACATGCAACAAGAAGAACAAAAGAAGTTGACAAAAAACACTGACTCTTTAACAGCCTGATCTTGGCTAGATTTAGTACAACGTTTTTATGTATTTTTTTATATTTATATCATTTTTCTATAAGCTACAAGACTTGATCAAAATGTGGGTGACATATGGAAAATATTATGTGGGTTTTATTTTGAGAAATAGGAGGGTAACAAAAGTTGACGTTGGTGCTTAAAAGAATAAGATGAGATGATAGTCATACAGAAATCCTTACCTTGAGATAATATACAAGTAGTTCATTAAGTGATGGATCTGCATTTAAATTAACAAGAAAACATTTATCTTTTTCTACTTTAATTCCACTAGTTTGTACAGATATTCCCATCTTCTCTAAATGTTGCTGGTTTTCCTGCATAAGACATAATACAGCAAAGAGTTATTGCAACAGAAGATTCTGATGTACATTCTGGAAGCTGTTGCCGGGTATTATTGCAACAGAAGATTCTGATGTACATTCTGGAAGCTGTTGCCGGGTATTATTGCAACAGAAGATTGTGATGTACATTCTGGAAGCTGTTGCCGGGTATTATATCCTCACTGGTAGGTTATTAAATATGTTGCTGCAAGAAGAGTTGCCTTACCTAAAGGCTGGTAAAGATTAATCTATTCAGATAAATCTCAAAACTAAAAAAAAATATGTCTGACCAGATATTGGAAATACTCTTAAATACTATTGGTATCAGAATAATCTAAACAGAAACGACAAAGTCTGATGACATGCACCACAGAGTCTGATGACATACACCACAGAGTCTGATGACATACACCACAGAGTTTGATGAAATACACCAGAGAGTCTGATGACATACACCACAGAGTCTGATGACATACACCACAGAGTCTGATGACATACACCACAGAGTCTGATGGCATATACCACAGAGTCTGATGACATACACCACAGAGTCTGATGACATACACCACAGAGTCTGATGACATACACCACAGAGTTTGATGAAATACACCACAGAGTCTAATGACACACACCACAGAGTCTGATGGCATACACCACAGAGTCTGGCATACACCACAGAGTCTGATGGCATACACCACAGAGTCTGATGACATACACCACAGAGTCTGATGACATACACCACAGAGTCTGATGAAATACACCACAGAGTTTGATGGCATACACCACAGAGTTTGATGAAATACACCAAAGAGTCTGATGACAACACACCAACAAGTCTGATGACAACACACCACCGAGTCTGATGACAACACACCACCGAGTCTGATGACATACACCAGAGTCTGATGACATACACCACAGAGTCTGATGACATACACCACAGAGTCTAATAAAATACACCACAGAGTCTGATGAAATACACCACAGAGTCTGATGGCATACACCACAGAGT